GCTGCAATTAAGTTGCAACTTACTTGTATTATCAATTACTGGTCATCAATGTGACACATTGATAAAAAATAACATCAGTCTTTTAGGTGAATAGTATGGCCCACTTCTCATATAAAATTGTGAAAGCTGGTTAGCCTGCTGATAAAAACTCCTTCCTGAGGGAGGAAAGGCTCCAGGTTGGCAGATGCTGAAACTAGGGAACAACTAAACCTTAGGTGGTTAGCAAGAAGTGTTCTAGGCGTCAAAGAACAAAAAGTTCCCATGCAAATTTTACAATTTCACAAAACTATAAGGATGGAATTTATTTAAATATTATACATTATTTGAAGTAAGGTACCTTAATCTTCTCTTGAACTCTTAGCCTCCTTACTTCTGGTGCTAGTGATTCTTCCTCAATTTCTACGGATGCCATGCTTGCTAAAGCCAATTGACCGACATAATCTTCAAAGAATTCACTTCCGAAAAGCATTCCAAATACAGCAGAAGGATCCACCATGGAGTCCCTGATACATAGGAGTGTAAACCATTTAAAGCATCAGTTTTTTTAACTAACTAGTATCTTCTTACATTTCCCTAGCTTCTTACATTTCAACTTTAGTCTGTGAACTTACTGAGAAAGGCCTTCCTTTCCATGCTTATCATATGCCTCACGTTTCCCAGGATCACTTAAGACCTGATAAGCCTCCCCAAGCACCTTAAAATATAAAAATAAATAAGTAAATAAGCTTTATTAATCTCATTTATATTAGTTAGCAATACATTTATAGTACTGTAACCAGCAAAACGTATGAAAACTAGACTGATTATGCAAACATCAATAGCAAAATCTTTCTGAAGGTCTAAAAGATAATGTAATAGGTCATCCCATGACTTTTTGCAACTTGGTGTCTAGGACCATATCAATAAATCTATTCATCCAAAAACTTAAGTTAATAGTTTAGGAGATAACAATTTAAAAAGTAAACTTAATATTAAACACAAATAAAAAGGTAATCTATATCGGATACATGCAAAAAACTTAATCTAGAATTTGTAATAGCATTTCTCAAAAGACTGCATTCCCCAAAAGGTATTTCACAACGTCATATTTAATCATGTGTCACTCACCTGGAATCTATGAGCGGCTTCTGGATCTCCAGGATTTTTATCTGGGTGCACCAACCTCGCCTACAAGAGTATTGTTTATAATCAAAATAAATACTGGTACCAAGCGAAATGGTTAGTATACACATTGGGTGGTGACCATCATACTAATGAACCTAAAATCAACGTCAAGATGATATAAAGAAATTAGACTAAATTGTGTGAAAATTTCAAATAACATATGAAGGTTTTAAAATCAAACAGGTAGCAGCACCACAAGGTAGCTAGACCCTTGCATCAAACAGTAAATCATTCATAAACTTTGACAAGCTGTAGTTGTTAGAAATTGAATAGAACACAGCAAGAAAGTAAAACAACCAAGTATCAGTGATGAACATGAAATTTGTCACAAAAACATAACGAACATAACCTAATCCATTATCACAACAAACACCATGTGTTACACCAACCATATTACCAGATCGTTTAACGAACATAACCTAATCCATTATCACAACAAACACCATGTGTTACACCAACCATATTACCAGATCGTTACATCCAATAGAAATTCAAGTGGTGCAGCCATATTCTACGTTCTATAATCAAATGATAAAGTACGTAAGAAAACCCATAGTAGCAATGGGATGTATACTTTCAACATAAAAGTTAAAAACCTGGTGTTAGTTTCGAAATTATTATCACACAATAAATTTAGGCAGATGACTAAACAATAACCTATGAATTCAACTGAAGGATAGCTTCCCGCAAAAGTTCAACTTATTAATGTAGAATGATATTGTAGTCTCAATCTCATTTAACTAGCGACTATTGCCAAATCAATTATCCTAATAAATCAACACACAAGCTTTCAAAATGAGCTCCGTTTGCAACATGATAATTACGTAGCAACAAATTTCATCAAATTCTCTCTTTTTACATGCTCATCGATTTATATGCTACAAAAAGATCATATGGGGACAAACAAATTACAGTAAAATATAAGCAAATATCAAAAAAATTAAACAAACTATATCCAATCACCTTAATGTAATATGCCTTCTTTATGTCGGCAGCAGAAGCATCAACAGTCACACCCAAGATATCATAGTACTCAGTGTCCTTCACCATCGCTCGAAACCCTAGCTAGCTTCACAAAGATCAACAAGACCCAATTTCTCAAATTAGTCCCCCATCAAAACGACAAAACCCATTCTCAAATAATTTCAGATCCGTGTTCAGCGGTTAAAATCACATCAAATGCCCACAAATTTATGGCAAAATGAATAGAAAATTAGAAGAAAACACACAAAAAAAAATTGATTTGTGAAATAAAAGATGGTGAAAACTCACAAACAAGAGATATAGAGGGCCAAATTTCATAAAATTATGCAAAGATTTATTATAATGGGAGGGATAAAGAAACAATACCCAGAATCGCAGATAGAGAAACGCCAAGATTTAGTCAGTGAGAGGTCTCAAATAATAAAATTAAACAAAGGGAAAAATTTTCTATACGTTAATGAAATTGGCAGCTATTAAATTATCGATAGATTCTTTTGGCTCATGGGACTCCGTAGAGACCTGGAGTTTTTAAGATCCCGCATAGTACTTTATATGCGGTCGATTGCGATATTCAGAATTTCTATTGGTTGTGTAATTTTGGGGTAAGTAGGATTGTTTTTGAAATTTTACTTTGTAGTGTTATTCATTAGGAAAATGAGATTGAGATTTTACTTTAAGGTGTTATTCATTGGGACAATTACCCTCACTTTTTTCCAAAATTATCATATTTCTATACAAACTTTTGTCCCAACCTCCAAAAATTACCATATTCTTAACTTTGGAATTTGGGACAATCATGAGGAAAATGGGATAATTTTAAAGTACTTATTTATTAAATATCTAATATATATTAATTGTATTATAATATATAACATATCTTAATTATATTATATTATAAAATTCTATTATAACGTAAGATAATAAAATTTTTATTATAATATTATCTTTAATATAACATTATTATATATCATTATTACATATTAGTTAATAATTTTTATATGTTATATATTATTCTTACTTAATATTATTATATTTTTATATTATTTAGTATATATTTTTAGTTGTAAATAAAAATCTTTTGTAGTATTTTTATGATTAATAAAAATAATTTTTTATATATAGTATTTAATATTTTATATAATAATATATTAATTATATTATATTACTAATTTATTATTAAGTATTTCTTTTTTTTATTAACTTTATTATATTATTAATAAGACTTTTGAAATATATTATCAATATTATGGTAAGTTTATATTAAATAATGTTTTTATTACTAAATAAAATTTAATAATTCTATATATTAGAGTATGCTAATATATATATATAATTAATATAATATATTATATTATTTATTAATATTTTTAATTAATAATATTGAACATATTAATAGTATATTATGATTATTATAAATATTATATTTTAATAAGGAGTCATATCATTAGTTATTCTTTTTAAATTATAATAATTATCATAAAATAAAATAAAAGATTATATTTTTAATAATAATTTATTATTCTAAATAATGTTAAATTAAATTAAACAAAATTTATAATACTTGATTAAATATTATATTGAAATATTATATTAAAGTACTTTAATATATATATTTATAATACTTGATTAAATATTATATTGAAATATTATATTAAATATATTGTTTGTATATTATATTAATTACTATATAATATATCATATTATTATAATATATTATATTAAATTAATTAATAATATTAAGGGGAAAATGTGTCAAGGCCCCAAAAGCACTATTTTCATGTGTTGCAGCCTCTTTACTTTTTTCCCATGTGGTGAAGTGTGATATTTTGTGTTGCAGCCCTCTTTTAGCAATTATTACCTGCCAACTAAGCATAGAGAGAGGATAAAATGTAAAAAACCTCAAAATGCCCTCCTTTCTCCACAGTAGCAACAAACTAGTTA